CCCCAAAACCCCAAAACCCCAAAACCCCAAAACCCCAAAACCCCGGTTATTCAAAAATTTATTGAATAAAAATATTTAAGCAATATGCAAAAGGAGACTTACTCAGAAGAAGACATAAATGATACTGCTGAAGCATTTTACTCTGAGAATGGTGAAAATGACTCTAATGGAAATAATTTACTTCATTACCTCATGATGTACTTTGATACTGACCCTGAGTCGAGTAGTGAGAAAGGTTTTGATCTGATTAACGATGGTATTGACCCTAATCATTACAACCAAGAGACTTTTACTCCCTTGCACCTAGCTATTAGGTTCAAACAGATTGAAGCTATCAAATTTTGAATCAGGGTAAATAAAGCAGCCATGAGAGAAGGCAAACCCGAGATATTTGATTTTACTCTTAAGTCAAACTAACAGTTATACGTGTCTTCATCTCGCATGTGTCCATTGTTTTGGAGAATTTCTAGACCTCTTAATAATCGATCCTTATCTTACTTCAAAACTCAGCTTTAAAGCTCGAGACAAGGCAGGCAAAAAGCCTAGCCAATATGTTCTTTTTAACTCACAATATTTTAAATAAATGTAAAAGAATTGAAAAGCTCTCTGTTCTGAGATTCCAAAAGCAAAAGCAGTTCAAAATAAAACCACAAAAATAAAGAATCTGAAGTAGTACACACAGAAAATATCCCTGATGATGATCTTGACGAGAACGTCTTCGAGATCTCTGAAGAGATTGCACCTGAAATAAATGCAAAGAAGATTTTAAACAATTTGAACATCTCAGGGACAGGACGTAAACGGAGACATAAACCTAAGATAGAGGCACTGGCCTGAGTTTCTGTACCACAGATAATCAAGCAGACTGATATTCCTTGATTTGACTACCTGATTAAGAGCAAAAATAGTAATTTTGGGAAGTAAATATATAGGACACACAAGGAATTCTACCCATCCCGTAAAAGGATATGACTCAGACTTCATCAACTTTAAAGCAGTAGTACAGGAATTACGGAAGTACAAGCCAATGCGAGAGGAAATTATCCCAACAAACTTCAGTGAGCACATAAAAATTCAGAAAACCTTAAAAGTTAGTGTTGAGAAATCACCAGGAATGTTCTCTCTTAACAAAGTAATTGATACCCCTTCTCGAGAAAATTGTGCTACAAATTCAAGTTTTAACGAAGAAGACCTTGACTTTAATCAAGTTTTAAATGATAGAATTAATAATTGAACTATAAGTCAAGAAAGTACTAGTGAGGAACACTTTGATAAACCTTGCCCATCTCTAGGCTTAATAAGACAAATTACCAACAAATAAATCTGAGCTACTAACCTGCTCCAAAGTGATTGATTACTCAGATTATTCTGAGAGATACAAAACAACTCGTAACAAATCATCCGCTAAATTTAATTTCCAAAATGCAGTGGAAAATCTCACAGATAAGAAGGCGGAAAATCCTTACAAAAATATCGCCTTAGAAGAATTTGAAAAGAATATTGAAGCACTTAACGAAAATGAGCTGACAGTTGAGATGCAACCCTCAATGCCAAAGTACATGATCCAAAGCAGCAAGAGTAATAGTAGATGACCATTTCTAGGCACGGCTAATCTTCAGTCAAAAAATTCAAAATTTGATGAGAACGATAAAACTATTGACCTTCGGAGCAAGATAAACCATAGAATTTTTAGAAAAGACAAGGAAATCAACAGGCGGACTTTTAAGAAATCTATGACGAATACTAAAAGTGTGAGTAATCTCTTAAGCACAGATGTCAAAGGAAATCCTTACCAGCTATTGATTCCTCAGAAATGAACTACTAAGCCTTTGAGCGATAAATATAGAGAAATCAGCTGAATTACATCATTGAACAAAATCTTAACTCATATTGACCTGAACATTATGGAAGCTAAAGGCAATGTGAGTATCCCTGTAGTAGACATGATTAGCATGCTTCGAAGAAGACAGGAACTCCAAAAACTCCCAAAATCGGTCATTGAGTACTTAAAGGAACAGATTAAGCTAAAAAGATATCGAATTGACAGAAAGAAGTGCAAGTATTCTTTCAGACCTCAAAATCTGATCTTTGAATACCTTATGCAAGAGCTGAAACTCTCAGCAGCTCAATGAGGAGGAGCTAAGACTTCAGATGCGAAGAAGTCAAGGCCTTCAAGAGTTTTTGGGCCAAAGTCAATACAGTTTGGGTGCTACAAAGTAAATCCTCTTTTATAAAACTTCAATATATAATGACTAAAATGGGGTTTTGGGGTTTTGGGGTTTTGGGGTTTTGGGGTTTTGGGG